TACAAATGGTTAAGCTATTCTGTAAACAACATGATGCCAAACAACTTAACTGGCTTGCCATTGTGTTTGGTTCAAAGTTAAACGCAACTAGAAGTAATAGAACAAATGAAGGATCACTTCAAGGCACTATCAATAAGGATAGCTAAGCCCAGGTTTAAGCTGTTGTAGAATTGTTTTATGATATTCTAGGGTCAAACCCCTTCTGATACCAAGGACACTCTGTGCAAATACTGCAATATCTTAAGTTTTATCCTAAAACTATACAGTAGTGTCTGCAATTGGAGGTTCAGTCTGAATATTAGTTTTGGTGTGTTTCAGGTGCAAAGTGAAGGAGGAAAGTGCACAGCTCAGTTGAATGGTGTTCTATGTGAATGTGTTCAGTGTAAAAAGGCCTTTGACTCTGAGATTATGCCAAATAATGCAGGTTTCCAACTAGAATATTTCAAATGTGCACTCTGTGCCCGCAAATACAAATACAAGGAAAGTTTGATTGCACATCTTAAAGGATCACATGACAATAAGAAAAGTCACCAATGTAATAAATGTGCCAAATCATTTAGCCAAGTCTCTTCGTTAAACTACCATGTCTCAAATGTACATTCAATAGAAAAGCCAGAAAAAAGAGAGATTTGTCCCATCTGTAAAACAGATTTTTTAAACAAACCTAGTTTAAAATCCCACATGCGTCGTGTGCATTATAAATTGAAAAAAAAATCCCAGTGTTAAATGTAACCTTTGTAACAAGTCATTTACAGATAAAAGTGGTCTAAAACGACATACTTCTGTGATGCATGATCAAAAGGAATACAAGTGTGCAGAATGTAACCGTGATTTTGGTTCTAGATCGCACTTATTGCATCATATCGAAAGACAACATTTGCCTCAAGACGAAGAATATAAATGTGCAGATTGTGGTAGAGTATTTGATTTTAAACAGAATTTGATAATACATATTAGAAATTCTCATTCAGATAGAAATCACGGTTGTGAAATATGTGGGAAAATGTTCAAGAGAAAAGATCAATTGAAAATACATGTCTTGAAACATTCTGATGATAAACCGTACGTCTGTCATACTTGTGGCAAAGCATTTAAAAGAGAGGGTAATTTACAGCAGCATGAGTATATACACAGAGATAACAGACCTCATGAGTGCAACATTTGTGGAAAGACGTTCAAACTAAGAACACATGTCAAACAACACATGGCTGTCCATGGAATCACCAGGAATCACAAGTGTGTCGTTTGTGAGAAGACTTTTGCTAGCAAAACCCAACTGAACACTCATCTGTCAACTCATGGATTGTGATGTAACAACCCTTACAAACCTGTTCACGTCAACCGTGAATAGATTGTAATGATATGCTTTTCAAACAATGCTTTTATGAGTATTATTGTTATAATTTTTCTACCTTTTCCAACTTGAAGGTCAAATGCAGTTTTAAGTCAATTATTGTTGTCTGGTATTCTTGTTTAATATGTTTTCTCATATTTGTCAAATTCATTTAGTTGTATCATACAATCCTTTTAGCGAATTTCCCTATAGGGAAGTAGCTATTACCGTAGGTCTCATGGTAAGACCTAAGCCCGGGACCGATTTACTTTTTCATTTTGATGTCCCCAGAGGCAGTGGCGTTGCTTGGTTAAATTCCAGGGGGGGGGAGAATCCTCAAATTTCCCAACTGCCTAACATAGATTTCCCAACTATTTTTTTTTAGAAATCAATTTCTGTACCGGTACTATTTTTAAAAATCTACAAATTATTATACTACACTGCAGTAACATTCAATTCAGTATTTATAAACTCGCATTAACAAAACATAGCTAGTTTTACATCCTATACAAAATTACTCAATTTCTAAAACTTCTACCAATTCATAATGAAATTTTATGACTTCAAAAAGCTTGAACAAGTAATGTTTCGAATCCAAAAAACTTTAAAAACCATTGTGGTAGCAGACGTAGCAGTGTAAAATTTTAGTGATATAAAATAAGCCTCAGAGTACAAATTAGTGGGTATAGAAAATATATTTTATTACAAAATAATGAAATTAAAATACTTTTAGAAGTTAAGATCAACATTTTAACTTTCATAAAACTTACAGCTAGGGTAGGCCTAAACAAGTTTGTAATGATGAAATATTAATATCAGTGTTGTGAATAATATTACTCTAGCCTAGAAAGGAATAAACCTAAAGTAAGACTCGTATAAAATAAAAACGTTCAACTTGGTTGATAATAAACTTATACATACAATAAAAATGTTAACCTTCATCTTCATCAAACTAGAACTTAGACAAAAATCAAACTTAGAGTGAAAGTCAAACATCAAATTTTAGGTTATGTTTTGTCCACGTAGATCTGTTTCAGAGTGATTAGTTGATTCATTTTTGTAAATCCTTAATTAGGAGTGATAAATAACTTGTGTAGATTTTTAAAATATATTCAGAGAATAAATATTCCATTTAGTTTATTAAAAATAAGAGTTTTAAAGGTAATACCGATACACAAAACCTATGTTTAATGTTATTTTAATCTGCTTATTAGCAAGTACTCCGGTCAGTTAGCCTGCTCCAAATACCACAAAAAAGGTATAAAATATATTTCATGTGACTGACGTGAAAAATATTTTTGAATTTCTTGTAAACACTAACAAACAACATAATTGAACAGAAGAGCTACATTGCTTGCACTTTCAAAATTCAAACTTGCAGACGAATCATTCAGAATAATCAACACAGGACAGGATCAAGGTACCCAACATGCGTCCAATAAGGAACAAAATTTCTCGTAAACGAAATTCCAACAAGCTTTACCGCTAATTGATTATTGATTTCTTAAAATAAGGCGTGTTTAGCCATGGTTTAGCCTTGTTTAATCAAAGTTAAATTAAATCAAAGAAGCGTCAAGTTTATTTGTCCAAGTCAAAGAAATTTTTCCCTTTGATGGATTTTTGCAAATATTTAAATTTTGTTTAGTTTAAAAATATATTTTTCTTGTATCCGACTTCTCAACTGTCCCAACTCATGGCAAGGAAATTCCCAACTTTTCTCTTTCCCAGATTCTAGGGGGGGGAGGCTCCCCCCCCTACCCCCCCCAAGGCGACGCCCCTGCCCAGAGGCCAAAAACACCATTCGTTCAAATTTTTATATATATATGTGTCCATCCGCACGATAACTTGAGTAATTTTTGTCCGATTTTGGTAAAATTTGGTTTGAAGGTGTAAGGCGGGATAAACTTGAATGAGTTCGCGAACCAGCATGATCGGACTATGGGAACGGGGGTTTATGGGGGGTTTTATGGGGTAAAAATAGGTTTTTCCCATTTTTGACCTTAAAAACACAAAATTTCACAATTTTTTTTCAAACCATTTTGTAGAACTTAAAAAAACAAATAATTTAGTATATTGAAGCGTTATTATGCGCCTAATTGTTACGGAGAAAATTCAAAAAAATTGTAATTTTAAAATTCCCATGTTCGTCTTATGGAGAATAAGTCAACTGTTGTAGTTTGCTTGTTTATGAACATATTTTGATCAAATTTGGAAAATACATGAATTTCTTACTAAACCGCAGTACCTTTTAATATTTTACATAAAAAAACTTTTTTACCCTCCCTGTTGCAGCAAACCTAAGTAGGTACTCCTCATTAAACTAATTCTGTTTAAATAGGGAATAAATGTGATATTTTTAAGGAGACATTTTAGTTTAAATCCAATCAGGCAAATGGAAATTCGCTAAGTCTGCAGGTTTGCTGCGGCGGGGGTATTTTGAGTATAACAACTATAAAGAATAAAGAATAAATAATAAATAAAGAATTTTTTTGAACATCAAAAATATTACGTTAAGTATTTGAGCTAAATAAGGGACATCATTTTTGAGCGGAGCAAAGCAATGGAGGCCAAAACCACCATCCGTTCAAAATTTTATATATATATTTTTAAATTTTTTTTGCTCGTATCTGCGCAAGACCCCACTAGAAAAAACAGGCCATGCTGCAGCGCGGGCAGCGCAACACTACGTCACAGTGGTGGATAGTTGTACTAAACTCTTACCATTACAATCTGACAAACAGCCAGCTTGTTTATTTACCAAAAACATATGGGAATGGTGATGGCAATGAATTTATCAATGAAATCTATCCACTAGTGTGACGTCATGAATCCTGCAGCATGGCCTGCTTTTTCTAGTGGGGCCTTGATCTGCGCCAGTGGCATTTTTATCTCATGCTTGAGATAATATTTTGCTATAAGGTAAATTTAATGACAGTTGTACAATCAGTAAATTTTTATAAAATTTTATAACCAAGATCTGAGTAGAAATTATTACAATCAATTCTTGTGCCCTGTGCTAAGTAAAGTGATAAATGAACCCAGAGTTGATATCACGCATAGGTACATGGTTACATATCTGGTTCAGAAACTTAATCATGCTTTAGTTCAAACTAACATAATATTTGTTTATATATTGATTAATTTGACTTTTTGTGACGTATAAACTCCAAATTGCTAAACATTAATCATTGTAAAAGACAACAAAATTTTGAAATATTCAAATGGTAGAATTATTCTTATCAAGAATTGTAATTGAATCCTTAACCATATAGCTGGCCCACCATGTTGCTTTGTTCAAGGGGAAAATCATTGAAAGATTGGTGTTGGTATAAATGTATGATGGGAAAGCAGTAGTAGTGGAATGTATTTCCAAGCACGAAATCAATCCAATCAATCAATTAATAATCAAATTAACGTGTTACTAATTACATCCAGCTGATAATTTTTTTCAGGTTCACCAAAAGTCACAATGAAGGATAGCTAAGCTTAGTTTCAAACTGTCAATAATTGATTTATAGTATTCTAGGTTGGAACCACTTCTGAATAGCAATCAAACTCTGCAACTGGAAATAAATCATTGCAATATGTTAAGTGCAATTCTAAAATCGTTCAGTGGGTGTTGTTAACAGTTAGGTTCAGTCTGAAGATGAGTTTTGGTGTGTTTCAGGTGCAAAGTGAGGAAGAAAAGTGCACAGCTCAGTTGAATGGTGTTATTTGTGCATGTGTTCAGTGTAACAGGGCCTTTGAAACTAATATCCCGCCAAATGGTTTTAATAATACATGTTCCCTACAAGAATATTTTGAATGCACATTCTGTCACCACAAATACAAACATAAGCATGATCTAATTAGGCATCTTAACAATTCACATGCCAATAATAGGCCAGTACTCGAGTCATGTCAATACTACCAGTGTACCACTTGTTCCAAATCATTTATGAGTTACCATGGGTTAAAGTTACATATTTTGCACACACATTCAGGAAATTTTAAAAGGCAGATTTGTACAATATGTGAAAAAGGTTTTGTAAATAAGACTACCCTAAAATTACACATTCGTAATGTGCATTATCAGCTGAACAAACATCACCGTTTTACATGTAAACATTGTAATAAGTCATTTGCACATGAAAAAAGTCTTAAATATCATACTTCTATGACGCATGTGCTTACCAAAGAATACAAATGTGCTGAATGTAACAGTTATTTTGTTACCAAAGAAATATTAAAGCATCATATCAAAAGACACCATCTTCCTCAAGAAAAATATGAGTGTGCAACCTGTGCTAAAGTGTTTTCTACCAAACAACAATTGTTGAACCATATTAGAAATCATACCTCAGGTACAAATCATGGTTGTGAAATATGTGGGGAAATGTTCAAGAGAAAAGATCTATTGAAAAGACATTTCTTGACACATTCTGATGATAAACCGTACGTCTGTCATACTTGTGGCAAAGCTTTTAAAAGAGAGTGTAATTTACAGCAGCATGAGTATACACACAGAGATAACAGACCTCATGAGTGCAACATTTGTGGAAAGACATTCAAACTAAGAACACATGTCAAACAACACATGGCTGTCCATGGAATCATCAGGAATCACAAGTGTGTTGTCTGTGAGAAGACTTTTGCTAGCAAAACCCAACTGAACACTCATCTGTCAACTCATTGATTTGATGCTAGACCTTTGTCAAGAGATATTTGCATATCCATTCTAATAAATAATTTATAATCTGTTCAGATGAATATTATATTTTTTACATTGATTTAAATATAGTCATTAGTTATTTTTCCTTTTTGTTGTCAGGGGCCCATTTCATAATAAACTACAAGTTACAATTTACAACTTAATTTCCATTAGATTTGCATTGGGCGATCAGCTGATTTACTAATAATATTAGTTTGTACTTTATTATGAAATGGGCCCCTGCATTTTTTGTTTTTAATCTTTGTTTGCATGATTTGGTTTTAATTTATTCAGCTATAATATACAACCTTGTATTACACATTGTAAAAGTTCCTGTTTCATAATCAAATCATTTGGTTTAATTTAGTCCGGTTACATTCATATAGTCCATGTCATGTAACTAAAGCAATTTACAAATAATAAAAGAAGAAAGAATTTTTGAAGTAATAAACAAACTCAATTTTTATCTTAAACTTTTTACTAAACATGATTGAGGGGTACACATAATTGGCTAACTTTGGAGATTGCTAACCCCATGCCAATTTTCCTATCCCCAAAATCGGTTGTTGTCCATATTCAACAAACTTATCGTTTTTGGGATTGGCTGACTTCGTAACCCACTAACCCGCATAGCTAAAGCGAGATCCAATAATCTTTTTTTTAAATAAATCAATTAAAACCAAGAGTGAGGGATCACCACTGAAATACAAGGGTGGCCATAACTGAAATAAAAGATAATACATAGCCGCAAATGTCAATACCACACCTAATAAAGGACTACTAAAGGAATATAATCAATACAAAAAAAGTAGCAATACATTTTGAACCATGAGTTGTCAGGTTTATTTTATGAATAGATTTAAATTAAAAAGCTTGTTGTCCAATGTTATGTTTGATTGTGATATTAAAGAAATTTTCTCCTAATGGTTATGTGCTTAAATAGAAATAAGGTTTACAATATTTTAAAAACTGCTCTAAGGTGTCTTCTAATCTATTTTAATTTCCTTCATTTCAGCTAAAATTAAGATGAATGAATTTTAATATTCTTAACGTTGGCTTTAACTGAGTAGCCGTGTTGATTTTACATAAACGTTACCAAAAGAGTTATAAGAATTATAACATATGTTTATAACAAGCCATCTAGAGTTAGTATACAAGTATCAAATTACAGTACAAAAGAGCATAAATTTCTTATACTGGCCATAAACTTAAAATCCATACAAAGCTAGTGTCAAAGTGTGTCAAGTGTAGAGAAACGATGTAATAAATTAAAGTTTTCTCCAAAAAAAGGCAATTCAGTTTGAAAAAATAATCTTACCTTAAGTTCAAGTCCAAAACATTGCTTTGAATGACAATGCCCGACCTCATACGGTGAATCACCCTCAAGATCTTTAATAATGGGTGTTGATCTTCATTAATGCTACTATGTATCATTGTGGAACAAAAAAAATATTGGTGTGATATTCCCATTATATGCTAACGTCAACCAGATTGCAATCACCATTTTACTATTTAGGAAAAAACACAACAATAAAATCAAAAGAAATATACTTATACTTATACAGTGTGTAAATTAAGTCTTGAAACAAATCTGTATTTTTAAAACAGAAACAGATAGAAATATTCTGTTTGTAGCATTGATTCCGCAAAGGTTCCGCAATTTTTTACACTAAACAAATTGTTTAACCTCCCTAACTTGGTAGGGGGTAGGGGATGACTTATAGTTTTCAAATAGCAACCCCCATTGAGTGACCCCTCATTTTGAAGGGCTTGTCAAAAGAAATACAATGATGCAAACCCGAAGTAGATATTTCATCCCTAGACAAAATGGCAGGTATTCCAAAATGAGTGCTTTTTGGCATAAATCAAATATTTGAATACCCGCCATTTAGGCTAGGGATGAAATATCTACCTCGGGTTTGCGTCATTGTATTTCTTTTGACAAACCCTTCAAAATGAAGGGTCACTTAATAGGGTTTGTTATTTTAAAAAAATAAATCACCACCCCTACCCTGAAAGGTGTTAAAAAATATTGTTGATGTAAAAAATTGTGGAACCTATGTTAACAATCAATTCCACAAAAAGAATATTTTTATCTATTTCATAAAAAAAAAAATACATAAGTTATTTGTGAAATTGGTGCTTTTTTACATATAGTAAATCAAATTTTGGAATACCTGCCATTTCGGCTAGGGGTGAGATACCCACCGTTTGCATCATTGTGTTTCTTTTTACAAATCCTTCAAAATGAGGGGTCACTCAATTGGGGTTGCTATTTGAAAAAAATAAGTCAACCCCTACCCTGTTAGGAGTGTTAAACAATATTTTTTATGTAAAAAATTACGGAACCTTTGTTAAAAATCAACGCCACAAACAGAATATTTCTATTTATTTCGGTTAAAAAATAACATATTTGTTTCACGACGTAATTTACTAACTGTATAATACTTATACAGTAATACCACTTATCCTGGGTGTCCCAGAAAGAAATGCACTTTTATTTTGGGGAAAGCCGAGAGAGATAAGATAAGGTCTTTGTAGCTATGCCCGTAGAAAATCATTTGCCATGGATTGCTCTACCGTTGAGCAGCGTGCTTTCTGTTTACGCGACTATTACCAAATGCTTTCTTGTGTGACAATTCTACGACACTTCCGTGCTAAATACAGACTTCATTATCTCAACCAAACACCATCAGTGAACATAATTAAATGCTGGGTACGCAAATTTAAAGCTACAGGATCAACTATAAACCCTTGTCCCTTCGGTCGCCATAGAGTTGTTCAGAACAACATATTGAGCGTATTACGAAATTGGGCCGTATTTCTTTGGGGATAACCAAGGGAACACTGTGACAGTAGATTTCCAGCAATACAAAACAATGATTGATGATCACAGCCGTTCTTGCAGACGTGACCTCGGGATAACAGGTAATAAGGCAGCTGTTTTGTGGGAAAGTCATTTCCATATTTGGTGACATTAACTTTCCTCCGAGAAGGCCAGACCTAACTTCACTAAACTTTAAGGGTATCTATAAAGTAGGGTGTACAACAAAGCTACTATTACCCAATATCGTCTAAAGCAAAATATTCGTCAGGAAATTAAAGCCATTCCACCAAAACTCTGCCATCAAGTCTTCACAGATGTAAGGTTTCGTTTGGCGGAGTGCCGGTGCCAGAGGGGTCTACATCTGGATGATGTAATTTTTCACAAGTAATTCCCTGATGTGTACAACAAACATTTATTCTTGCAAAACTTGCTCTAAATAAAGCAATTTTTCTGTTTTATTTGTTTTAAAAGTGTATTCCTTTCTGGGACACACAATATAATACTTATATGACATAAAATCTGGTGATTTTCTGTTTTCAATCTGGGTGACGTCAGCCTATGGAGTATCACACCTATGTTTCTTCTTCCACCATCACTTTGTAGAAAAGTAGCATTTTAGTTGCTTTTTCAAGTGTATGTAATACAACTTTTTCCTTGTATGAACTTTTTATTTTATTATAAAACATTCCTAACTTTCTGACCAGTCCTTGCACACCAATATTGTAACAAGAGTCTTAAGGAAAACCCATTGATGTGTATTGAGGAAAACCATGGATGTTCTACTTTGTATGACAAGCCTAAGCCTCCTGCACAAGCGCAGCATTTCTTTATCTTATTGTTGTGACATTCCGCGATCTATGTGATTAACGTTTGCAGTTGACTTATTTACCCTAGTGAAGTCTATTTCCCTACTTTTGCATTTTGGGAAAGATAGTGGCTTATGAGCAAGATGAAGCCGAGTGCGGAAAACAACTATCGAGCTCGAAAATGAAACTTTTGCAACAAGTAGTGAATTATACTTTTCATCGCGATGCAGACAATCACACAAATCATTATTTAAGAACTATTTAATGCATGCATCATTATTTAAAGCATGTTGTAAGGGAAATGCAGTACAGTAGACTCCCTCTTATTCAGACTCCTCGGGACCGAGGCCAGTCCGGATAATGGTTTTTATGGACGCCCCCAAAAACTTGTTAAAACGGACCGTTTAATTGCATACTGCATACAGTATTTGACTTAAATTTATGAGAGCATTGTATCACAGTGATCATTTGTATATTGAGCTTGTGATCACTGGTCTCAAATCTTTCCCATGAGAACAGTGGTTTTAGTACCGCCCACTTCCTGCCGATCTAGTTCGGTGAAACCGATGTGCTAATAAAAATCCAGTTAAAGAGATGTCATTTCCGCAGAGTGTAGTCCGGTTAAAAGGTGTCCAGATAAGATGGAGTCTACTGTAAATACAAAATGTATACAATGTGTGATCAAACCGTTTGGAAGTAAATAATTTACACTGGATTTTGGTTTGTATATCATAGTATGTATATGTTAGTGGATATAATAACTTCTGTTGACAGAAGCTTTGATGATTTGTGAAATTGTTTAGAAACAAGGTGAGTGGATATATCAATTGTTATATATGTATATAGTGCTTGCCTATTAGTCAGATGGTCTCCTGTTCAATGCTTGCAGAAGCTTGTGGTTTGTAACTGGTCCTACCTCATATGGTTTGTGTCCTAGATCATTGAGCTTTTTTTTCAAAAGTTATGGCTTAATAATTAGCTGAGAGGCTTTCATCATTCATGTCACCCATCCCTCACACATCGTCCCTTAATGTAAGAACCTTGGTAAGTCAAAATCCTACATCCTATAAATCTTCAAATACATTAGTCTTATTCAAAACCAGTACATGTAAACTGCTTTAAAGGGATTTTTCAGAATTATTTTATATTATATCAAGTTCTATCTTTGGATTTTATTGAATGAGATATCAGGGGCAAAACTATTTTGTAGTAACTATGGACAATGTTGCAGGATGAAGATTCTTCTGCTCCAATACCTGAAGAAGTATGCACAGGAACACAAGACGGTATCTTGTGTCAATGTGATAGCTGTAAAATGTGTGTGAAGAAAATTGAACTTTCCATTGATAAGGAGGTCACAAGTAAAGACAGCCTGAAACCATTTCCCTGTAACATTTGTAATATGAGATTTTCTTTAAAGTGCAGGTTGGAAAAACATTTAAAGGTTCACAAGGGACTAAAGTTGTTTCCATGTGACATCTGCAAAAGAGCATTTACACAAAAAAGTACACTGAAATATCATATGAAATCACAACATTCCACCAATAAACAAGAAAAAGAGCAAAAAAAAGAAATTTGTCAGTTTTGTTATAAGAGTATCTGTGCCAAAAGGCTGAAAGCTCATATTGAAACCGTCCATTTTCGTAAGACCAAAAGTCTTTTTTATGAATGTAAAGATTGCGGAAAAAGTTATAGTCATAGGGATCCTCTCAGAAGGCATATAAATATGATCCATTTAAGAGAACACCAATATAAATGTGCGGAATGCCAAAAAGTGTTTTATGACAAACAGGTACTTCGTTTTCATATCAAAATATCACATCAACAAAGCGAAGAATACATATGTGCAATATGTGATCGTACTTTAAAAACAAAAGCAAGTTTATTGATACACATAAGTTTACACTCGGCAAACACTATATGTTGTGAAATTTGTGGGAAAGCGTTTAAACAGAAAAATCGCTTAAAAAACCACATGATTATACACACGGATGATAACAAATTTACCTGTCAGTTGTGTGGTAAATCATTTAAAAGAGAGTGTAATTTAGAGCAGCATGAGCTTACACATGCAGATAACAGACCTAATGAGTGCAACATTTGTGGAAAGACATTCAAACTAAGAACCCACGTCAAACAACACATGGCTGTCCATGGAATCACCAGGAATCACAAGTGTGTTGTCTGTGAGAAGACTTTTGCTAGGAAAAAACAACTTAACACTCATATGACAACTCATGGATTGTGATGTAAAATCTTTAACACCAACTATTTAGGTAGATATTTTCCTCATATAGTAGAACTCAAACTTTGCTATACCATCGCAAGCAATTGCAAAACAAATCTGTGAAGCCTTCATGACCGAAAAATTAACACAGGACAATGATAACGTTTCCATCTGTATTACAGGAGATCATAAAGACGATAATGATGTTTTCATGTTCACTGGTGACAATGAAGACAAGATTGCAGTAAATATTCAGTAATTGGCTGCGATCAAGGCTTCTGCCTTCTTTAATAACAATTCTCACTCCTATACCTAGATTAAGGGTTTTGAATTCTTTTTTAAATCAATTTGATAGGTGATTAGAATGGTTAGAGTTTTCAGGATTGGAGTTCTTCTGTAGTTTAGTTCTAATCCTCATGGAAATATGCAGGGGTTATGTTATTGATGTATTCGGTTATTATTGATGTAGTTTTGTGTGTCTATAGTTTATTGTTTATAGATTTGTGAGCAATTTACCAAAACACGTTTTGCCAAAGTATCATTTATTAAATATTATTCATTACAAAAGATGTGAAATCAATGTAACCCCTTTCCCAGTATAAATTAATTCCAAACCATTTTGATCATGAATTCAATAAAAACGAAAATATAATAATTATAAAGTAAAACGTATGTTGAAATTACATAAAATAGGATTATGGCACTAAAATTAATTTACAATAGTTACAAATCTTTTGTCTTTTGGAAATTAAAATTTAATTTTTGTCCATTCAAGTCTCCATGTTTGTTTAATTAGTCTATACTATATTTTACAATTTAAGTTAATCGTAAACTAAAAATACCCCTGCTGCGGCAAACCTGCCGACTGAGCGAATTTCCAGGTTTGCTGCTACAAGGAAACTAATAAAGTGTGTTTTTGAGTAAAATATTGATAGCTTAGTACATAAAAAATAAATTTGCCAAGTTTTATCAAAATATATCCATAAACAAGCAAACTACAACATTTGACAATATTCTCCATAAGAATAACATGGGAATTTTAAATTTACAATTTTTTTAATTTTCTCCGTTACTAACAATCGAACAAAAATACTTTTATATACTAAATTATTTGTTTTTTTAAGCTCTTTAAAAAGGTCTAAAGAGAAATCGGGAAATTTTGTGTTTTGAAAGTCAAAAGTGAGAAAAACCAATTTTTACCCCATAAAACCCCCCGTAAAGCCCCGTTCCCATGGTCCGATCGTGCTGGTTCGCGAACTCATTCAAGTTTATCCCGCTTTACACCTTTAAACCAAATTTCATCAAAATCGGACAAAAATTACTCAAGTTATCGCGTTCACGGACGTATATATATATATAAGTATATATATATATATTTAATATACATATATAAAAATTTGAGCGAATGGGTTTTTGGCCTCTGGGGACATCAAAATGAAAAAGTAAATCGGTCCCGGGTCTAGGTCTTACCGTGCCACCTACGGTAATAGCTACTTCCCTATAGGGAAATTCGCTAAAAATAGTGCATTTCATCACTAGACTATGCCTATTTAACTGTATTATGAAAAATTTAAATGTAACATACTTTTAGAATTTGAACTTGAATTCGTTATTTCGTTGGCAGGGTACAATCTAACTGAATATTTTTGGAAATGTGTAATGTTGAATATTGTGTTCCAATTATTATATTGCAAATTGCATTAATTGTTGAATAAAATTCACAGATTCATATTTTATTAGATATATTATTCTATCTGAATATAGCATAAGATGAAAATGTGAAATGAAGTGAGATATATTTTGGCAAACAATACGTGAATCGATTTGTTATAATTTGTTTTATCCAATTCACCCTGTTTCATATTATCATTTTTTTAATGTACCTTTAGAATTTTATTTTTATATACGATACAGTCGTATTTGAAACACTTGGTGTTTATTTATCACTCTTGCACAAAGAAAATGATTTAAACCATAGCTAATTTAAAAACCTATGGTTGATACCATGGAGATGTCATTTTGGATTCCGTTGGAATTGTTTTAAATGTAGTAAAAATAATTTGATTTTGTACCTAAATAGTCTACGTTAGATATTAGCCAATGTATCAGTTGTTCATAAGGCCAAATAATTCAATTGGATATGTTTGTCTGTTATGGGCATGGTTGTTTGTTTGCAACGCTTAATTTGTTACTGTAAAACAAAAGTGTACAGTGTTAATCAAAATTTTAAAAGGTATAGTACCTATGGCGAGGTGATGCTTAGCAATTTTTAACTAGGATAGAAAGGAGCCTTCATTTAAAAAAAAGTAGTTTTTCAACGAGTCTTAATTAACTTTTAAAGCTACGGTTCGTTCCAGATGACGAACATTACAAAAAAATTGGTAACGTGAAAATAGTTCAAATAGAGTCACACAATTGCTTAAAAAAAACATATTTAACATATACTAATACACGACACATTTTATTTCTAGGCCAGCCTAAACAAACTACTTTGCGCGGACCGATACACTGACTCAGACAAGCTATTACCGTATACCGTAATACTCATGGTAAGACCTGGACCCGGGACCGATTTACTTTTTCGTTTTGAGGTCCCTAGAGCCCAGAAACACCATCCGTTCAAATTTATTACAGTCCGTTCCATTACAGTGTTGTCTTTACATTGCATAGAATCATGAAGTTTTGGGTTATTTTTAGGTTTCATAGCTTAAGAAAGCCGAAACGAGTCTTATTTCAATTTTTGTCTGTCTTTCTGTCTCTGTCAGTCTATCTGTCTGTCTGCCTCTCTGTAATTCTCTCTGTAACGCCAAAATGTAAATTTACAAGGCCTACTCCGAGAAAACAAGATTCAAATCATTTTTGTGTATTCACTGGATTGGTGAGAGTGTCTTTGACTATTAAAATATGGCCTCAGAAAAAAATGAGTCAGAAGATGACCTCAAACCAGCTTTGCATCAATGGCTCATTAATCGACCTTTCTATTCCTTAGAAGAATACCATCAACAGGTCTTTGACTAAACAACACCTCAACCACACATTTAGAAAAAATTGTAAATTGACGCTACTACTATTCTTAATGAATGTGTAAATAAAGATTAATTGTCTATTGTCTATTGCCTCACTAATTTAAAAATAAAAATAAAACTATCAAAAAACCATTTGTGAGATTTTTATCAAGTTTTCTCCCAATGTTTACTACATTATGTCATTTATGAAATGACTAACAGCTTTTTGGATTAAGATTCTCACTTCTAGCTGTCACTGATATGTTTACATTGATTGTAAGATGTTTACAAATACTGCAACATTTCCAATCATATTTTGCAAGTAAATCAAAAACCATTCATTGAATCTATAACTGATATAATGGTCAATTTTTACATGCACCACTGTTGTGGTATCTTCAACTTTTTGAGCTGACACATACGTCGTCAAATCGTCGTTAAATTTGGTTAAAAACTGTTTAAATATACAATTTTTATCCCGGTGTTTGTAACTAAACCAGCCTAGACATTGAATTAAGTCCATCTAATGCCTGCTTTGGAGTGCTCTGGGGCTCAGGTCTTCTTGGAAGTAGGTACCTACCTCATCCTATTCATAGTTTTTGCCCAGCTTGCTGTGTCACACTCCCCCTATATCCCCTTCCCTACTTCCCTCTTACCCACAAAACCTTTTAAATTAACCTATAGGGAATCTTTTGGGTCAACAGACTCAGAGCTACCCATGTTCCCTATTGTTTGTTGCGTAGGGTAAGTTTCTCATAATCAGACACTCGGCACTTAGACGTTTATCTTCACAAAAATGTAATTGAGGCCATAGTGATCACTGTATGTGCCTGAGGGGAATCAGTTTTTATATCACGACTTCCCCTGGTTCCTATAGACTACCCGTTTGATTTTAATACGTTACGTTGCAATTCCCTTTGAAATTGTGCTTCGTCCTCGCCATCATCAAAGCACAATGATAGTCACATAAGATTGCAGGACTAGACTTAAGAGAGGATTGTTTTTCTAATGGACAATTTAATTTTGCATGTTCACGAGTCAGCTCAGCCACGAGTCTGGTGATGCTAGCACCTTCTGGGAAAATAAAAAATGCTGTATACTTTATACTTTTTTATTAAATGGGGACCATAAAAAGTAGGTATTTTAAGCCAAATATGAATGTAGATGAGTGTTGGATGAGTGGCACGTAGGATTATTTACAAAATAATCTTGTAAATAATTAAAAATAGTACGAATAGGAACAAGTTTTAATCATTATTGTAAAATGAAATATAAAGATTAAAGTAGTTTATTGTTTATTTAATGTAATTTATTTTATGACAAATATCTGGTATTTAAACACTATTTTTTTTTATTCAACCAATTTGAAAGTTTCTCTGGTGAAGCAAGGTTATTCCGCCAGTTACTGTAGAATGCTGAGTGCTGTGAACAATGATGGCATGCAACTTCTGTTGATGTAGTGTCATAGTTGTTGTTCTCTCTGTTTTGTTGATGTAGTGTTGTAGTTGTTCTCTCTATGTACTTGTCACCTGTGGATCTTTTGATCTGGGCAATTATTGATTGTCACAGTTGAATGTTGTTCTAATTGCATCATAATTGATAATAATCTTGGGATCTAATGATTATTTTTAGCTCCTGATACAAGATTTCCAGAAGATTGATCATTAGCTCTGCATGTATCAACTACTAATGCGCTAACTATGCAATTGTACGCTTGTCTTCATTCTAATAGTCATTGTTGATTTCGTTCACCTCATGCCTCTTGTGACTAGTATTCATGTAATGCTCCATATTCAGAAGTACACACCTCCCTTTGGGCCTTTCAGGTATGTTTGGATAATCCGTTATAATCCTTGTTAACAGCTTTTTGGTATAACCAAATTAACTTTAAAAGATCAATAGGAACTTTAAAGGACAATGAAGAATTTTAATGCAAAAAATAGCTTAAGTCCTAGTCTCATATCTAGGTATGGTACCTACCAAATATTTTCAAAAAATGTTATAAGAATCGGTCAACCCATTTCAGAGTTTTTTTTATAGGCCTACAACTCATAACCATGGCATAAATAAAATCTGAGAGAAAGTAAGAAAATGTAAATTGCATTTCTAAAAAGCAGTGTTACACTCTGGTGTGAGATTACAGTGTAATAATAGTAATATGCATTGAGTTGTTGCAATTTCGAGGACCCCAAACAACGATTGTTTTGAATGTTAAGCTTTACACCATTTTTAGCACCATGCCCTATTTTGTAAT